TATGCTTAGTTTATATATATATATATTGATAATTAAATACTAAATTATATTCACAGAGGAAATGATTTCTATTGATCAAATATTATTTTTAACACAAACAAAAAATGAATTTGGAGCATCAGATTAAATATTCATATTTTACAACTATTAAAACAAGAAACTTAGTTTCTAAACCTAACTGATCGCTTTTAGTGAAATCGCTTTTTTTTAATCATGTATTTTTTTATTCACAATATTTTAATTTAAGGGTTAATTTTATATAAATACAAAAAACGTGTCCAATACTATTTGAACTAACAATTAACTTGTCTGTTTTAAAATTTATTTATTTGATTAAGAAAGAAATATATTATAAGTACAAATTAATTGTATTGGAATAAAACGTTCTTCAAACTGGGAATATAATAATTTCTGGGTGTTGTCCCTTTCTTACGGGCTATTTTGGTGCTTCCGTGTTCAACGAAGCGTAGAAAGCTGAACTTCTTCAAAACTAGTGAACTTTACCAGCTAGGAATCCAGGGAAAGATTATTGATTCGTTGCTACATGAAAAACCTACACCAACAGACATTCAGAAAATGTTCTTGGTCGAGATTCCCCACTTGGGGTACCACAAAATTTACAAGACATTAGTACATTTAAAGTTTTGTTTTGTTACAAGTAAAAAGACATGTGACATTAAAGTCACTTGCGCTTGTTTAGGGATGAAACTAGAAATAGGGTTTATAACTTAGCTTGCATCAAAATCAAGTCACACGATGCTTAATTATTTGTTAAACTATTATTTTAACTTATGCAGCGTACACATAATAAATTTTTTATTTTATATAACTATGATTTATAATAAATAAATATTTTAAATATATATTGTATTATAATTATAGTTTATAATAAATAAATATTTTTATGATATAGATTATACTTTTTATTTATGATAAAAAAAATTGATTGTGATATAATTTATTTTTAACTATTGATAATTTAAAAATATTAAAGTTAAATGTATAAATATAAATAAAAAATGATAGAGTAAAATATAAAAGAAATGAAGAAAAAAAATTCTAAAAATATAATTGTTAAAGAAAAAAAACTAAAATTCATCATTAATTTGTATTCAATTTTTATACAATATTTTGATATTAGTTGTAACATCCTAAATTTTCTTAAAAAACTATTAAATATATTTTCAATTAATTAATTGGAATTATATTATATATGTGTTGGAACTATGAAAATAGAAATAAAATATATATTATTTATCACTAAAATTACATGAAGATCAACATTGTTAAATGATAAATTAAAATAATAGTGACTAAAATAATTAAAATAAGATTTTAGAGAAGATTGGGTTGAAACACGCTTGGAAAACACCTTCACTGCATTGGTATATTATTTTGTAATGAGCTCATCTCCCAAGATATGACAACTCGTTAGATTAATTGTGTGCAGCGAAGGATCTAAATCAAAGAACATCGCTCCAAAATATACTTGTAGTGATAAGAAAATAATTTTCAAACCAGTATTTTAACATCCATCAAGATAAGGAGGAATGAGAACATCACTTTAGGGAGTAGGTTATCTGTTGGATAACAGGATTGATCTCCAATCCCATAGGTTGTGTATGTATGCATGTGTGAGGAGTTAATCCTGTTAAGAGCTAGTTATCAGGACTAATATCCTACCATTTTGATATTTTAATTATTTAATAAAATTAATATATTTTCGTATTTGTTGTTCAAGTGATAATGAATAAAAAAATATTAATTAAAATTTTCGTTTTAAAAATGAATGCTGTTATTTTATATTTATATATATATATATATATATATATATGTTTTTTTCAATTCAAAAGAGTTGAATTCTCATTCCTCCCTCGTATAAAAATATTTTTATAAAAAGTAGAATAAAAATAGTTTTTAAAAGATTATATAAGTAAATGATTGATATAATTAATAACGTAAATAAAAAGATATAAAGAAGTGTGTATAAATACAATATTTCCTATTTGTTTTGTTGTTAAGTTTTGGGAGTTGGGAGAAAAGCCAAAGCAAGAGAAAGTGAGATTTGGTGACAGTCAGTGACTCACTGGTCCTCGTGACTCCAAAATCTTTGTATTTTTTTTGTTTGTTTTGCTGTGTTATAGGACCCAATCAAGTGGCTACCAACAAGCCAAGTCCACCACATGCTGCCAAATCAAATCTCAAAAAGCCATACCCATCCACACAAAAAATACTTTAGACTAAAAAATCTCAACATTTTTTTAGTAAATATTATTATCTCTGTCTCCACCTAAAAGAGAAGGTCCACAAGTTTTCCAACATTGGACACAATTATCCATCACAAATTATTGTTTTTGCCTCCACGTTTATCAATTCCTTCCTCAACCATTCATATGAAGATGCAAACAACACATTCTATGTTACTTTCCCATTTTAATTTTGTCCAATGAATGACTGTGATGTGTTTATTTAACATCGTGGGGCAATCAATTCACGGATCTATCACTTGCTTTCTGATGGAAATTGAAATAATCACATTCGGACTTCTTATTATTTGGGTCCACCACTCCCAAACATAATCAGCAAATCAAGGGGACGATGTGATCAAGGACTCTATGTGATCAAGGACTCTATGTGATGGATCAAGGACCACAAGCGTTGCTTACTCCTAGTTCTTCACTGCCTCGTGCCTCTTTTGAACTTTGGCACTCTCGTTTGGGACATGTTAATGTTGATGTTATTAATAAGTTAAATCAGCAAGATTATTTAAATGTTTCGTCTATTTTGCCTAAGCCAATCTGTAGCATCTTGACCGATCCAACAAACCATGGATTCTGCTGCCAACTCAAATCAAAAAAATGCCCCCACTTCATTGTGTTCTGTCAAGTTGGACAGAAACAATTATTTGCTGTGGAAATCTCTTGCGTTGCCTTTAATTCGAGGAAGCAAACTCGATGGCTATATCCTTGGGACAAAGGAGGCATGTACTATATATTCTGCATAGTATATGATTATAAAACATAATATCATTTTAATGCTCAATTAAATAGTTATTTTAAGCTAGATTTAAAGTGTCGTAATAGTTATTTTTTTTGAATTATTATATAAAAAGACTCGATGCACAAGAAAGAAAAGAGAACAAACATATAAATACATTTGTACAAAAATATTCTCGATAGAAATTTATTCTTTCTTATAAACATTCATTACTCTGTAATTGTTTATATAATGTCTAAATGAAGCAAACACAACTTCTTTGTAACCTTCATCATTGTTATAAGATTGAATCTGGAAAAACTTATTTGAAAAATAATATTTATTTTTGAACTTGGAGAAACTTGTTTGAAAAACAATATTTGATTGTTAAGCCTGGATAAACTTGTTTATTAAAAGAATTCTTGAATAGTTATTTGAAGAAGCATGTCAAAGAATATTTAGGAATAAATTAGAATTGCCTTGTTAAAGAATATGGTTAGATTGAGGATCGGATGTAGTTTGATATCTACACAAAATTTAGTATCAATTATGATTTTAATATGAATGATTCTTACCAAATAACATGTTCAATGATTTTTTTTAGGCATGATTTATTATAATTAGTGAAATCAACCCATAATATAAAGGAAGAGTGATTGACGTACATACAGAAAAGTGAGTGTATGGGTGAAAAGACAAAGATAAAAAGAGTGAGAAAAAAAAAGAGTGAGATAAGAAAAATGGTGAAATGAATCTTTGAAATTGTATATTGCTCTCATTTTAGTCTCTAATTCTAATAAAACTCAAACAAAAGTTCCTAAAAATGTATTATGTCACTTATTTAAGTCCTTTTGTTAAATAAATTATATTTTTTTAAATAAAAATATTTATGTGACACAATAATATTATGTAACATACACGTGATATATATGTAAAGTGACACATGTTATAGAGGTGTGGCATGTAGTATATATTCCGCATGGTATATGATTATAAAACATAATATCATTTTATAACTTAATTAAATGGTTACTTGTGAGCTAAATTTAAAGTGTTGTAATAGTCATTTTTTTTGAATTATTATATAAAAAGACTCAATGCACAAGAAAGAAAAGAGAACAAACATATAAATACATTTGTACAAAAATATTCTCGATAAAAATTTATTCTTTCTTATAAACATTCATTATTCTGTAATTGTTTTATAATGTCTAAATGAAGCAAACACAACTTCTTTGTAACCTTCATCATTGTTATAAGATTGAATATGGAGAAATTTATTTGAAAAATAATATTTATTTTTGAACTTGGAGAAACTTGTCTAAAAAAGAATATTTGATTGTTAAGCCTGGATAAACTTGTTTATTAAAAGAATTCTTGAATAGTTATTTGAAGAGACATGTCAAAGAACATTTAGGATTAAATTAGAATTGCTTTGTTAAAGAATATGGTTGAATTGAGGATCGGATGTAGTCTTAATAGTTGAGACAAACCGATATAAAATTATTTAGTTTTCAATCTAATTACTCTTCTTATTTTATCTAACTAGCATTATTATTCCACCTTAAAAAACATGCGAATTTGCGATATACACTATTCAACAATCCCTTTTAATGTTTATCTTTTCTCTACATATATTTTTACAATAAAATAAATAATCAAATTACCAGTGTAAATACAGTGATAAAGTCATGAAAACGTTTGGAAATAAACATGACATCAAGTTAAAATTTTAAAAACTAAAGTGATATTAAATTATAATTTTAGGAATTAAATTGACACATTATAATTTCGAGAATTAAAATGATTTTGTTGTATATTCATATACGTGTCACTCCATATAAATTAAATTTTGAATGAAATGACCAAACCAGTAATTTAACTTTTAAAAAAGGACTTACATTTAATCATCTTGCACTTCACTGAAGAAACGCAGGTGACTTCCTTTTCTGAGAACGCAAGTATATATTCCAGAGGATTTTATTATAAATTTTATGCAACCTCACAGTTGCATTCATACCATAGAACTTAAGCTCCAATTTTTCCCACTGAACAACTCAATTCATTCTGATCATTGGTACAAAGTGATTTAACTCCAAGGTTATGCCATGATAATTTGATGATCACCAGCACAGAATCATTTGGAGTTTGGATAAATTTGTCTTACAAGCAAAAAAAAAAAAAAAAAAAGGAAGCCAAATAATATATTTGTCTACCGAAGACAAACGAAAATAATGATCGATACACGTTTAGACACCCGATACAAACCACGCGCCTTCTTTATCTTCAACAGATACACCATAAGAATATGGTAATGCCATGCGTCTTAAGTCCTGGTCTTCGCCCTTGAAAGGGTAAGAAATGGACGCAAGATTAACGTCCATTGTTCTCTTTCTCAAATGTTCTTTTTTGTTTCACGGGACTTCTAGCTTCAATCACTTCAGAAAGAATTCTTTTAATAAACAAGTTTATCCAGGCTTAACAATCAAATATTCTTTTTTAGACAAGTTTCTCCAAGTTCAAAAATAAATATTATTTTTCAAATAAATTTCTCCATATTCAATCTTATAACAATGATGAAGGTTACAAAGAAGTTGTGTTTGCTTCATTTAGACATTATAAAACAATTACAGAATAATGAATGTTTATAAGAAAGAATAAATTTTTATCGAGAATATTTTCCAAATCTTGTTTTGATTGTGATGTGTATATGATGTCTCTTCGAATTTTTAAACATGTTATTTATAAATGTGCTCTAAATCTATGAATCCATTTTAATTAATTTGTGAGTGCTTGTCAGTTATGTGAGAAACCCTAAAGACTTTGAATTGAATAATAATTTTTAAAGAATCAATTTTGAACTATAAATCCCATGATAAAACTAAATTAATTAGACTATAAATGTCTTCTTTCTAATACAAATTTGTGTAGATTATGGAACATATCGAATGTGTAAATCACAATTACGCAAAATGTGAAATTATTGATACCACATTAGGTGCCATCTTGGACTCATTGGGTGCAGAAGCTCGAAATGCCACACCAAGAGTAGGAGCTAATCAAGGGACTCCCTATTGTAAATTCACTGAGTATAATCCTTTTAGAGGCTTTTGACCTTAAACGCATCAAGTGTAGGGTAAGCCATGCCTAACACTACCCTATTCCTGAGATTAAATTATATTGATAAATGCTTAACAAATGCGAATAGACTAATATATTAATTACATGAATTAGATGATTTAGATGAGAGAATGATGTGCCCAAGGATGAAAATTGAGAATGTATGCGAAGTATTGGAAGTCTATGATATTGTGAAACATATGAGTTATGTGATGTGTGATATACGTAAGTGATGATTAAGTGAACAAGCCTAAGCTTAATTTACTACTAAAGTGAACTAAGAGACGATGTGAATATGATTTCTATGACCATATGCAAGAGAGTCTATATATCACTCATCATTTGCATAAATGTATTTTTGTATGACGGACATGATGTAAAATACGTTGTCAAGGAAGGTCCCCCTTATGTAAAAACTTGAAAATCTCATGATTTTGGGATAACCAGGTTTAAAAGCACCAATCTTGCCACTGTGTTTATAGGGTGAAACTTGGCCAACGTAACTATCTCGACATACTATTATTTTATTGCTATATGATGTTATGGATATATTATTGTTGTTGATTATATGCATGATCATGCTATGTATTTTGTATGCATGTGACTACCTCACCATTTCTTACACTAGTAGTTAAAGTGAGATATGTTCTCACTCCCCTTTTTCCTTTGTGTCTTATTTTTAATTTGTCTATGCAAGTGACTTTAATTATGAAGGAGTTTGAATTGTTGATAGGATTACTCTCATAGGATATGACATCGAGACTCTAGTTAGATATTGTTTTTTCTATTTTATTGCATAAAGAATTTTAGTTTCTTTTCTTAGGAAATGTTTCAACTTTATTTGTTGTTCTTTGTAATTAATTGCTTTAGTTTTTAGTTTTGTTAGCTTTGAAATTTCGAGTGTGATACCAAATGCTGATTTTCGATGGAAATTTTCGACGGAAACAAGTAAATTTTCGACGGATTTTTCCTTTTTCGACGGATTTTAATCCGCCGGAAAAAGTGGCGTCGGAAAAAAAAAATCCGTTAGAAATAAATTTTTTGACGGAAATTTTTGACAGAAAATTCCATCAGAAATTTCCGACGGATTTTTCCGTCGGAAATTATAATTTTTCTTTTAATTTTAATAAATTTATTAATGTAACAATCCTCATATTTGACCTCTCAAGGGTTCTATTTCACTAAATGAAGCAAACACAACTTCTTTGTAACCTTCATCATTGTTATAAGATTGAATATGGAGAAATTTATTTGAAAAATAATATTTATTTTTGAACTTGGAGAAACTTGTCTAAAAAAGAATATTTGATTGTTAAGCCTGGATAAACTTGTTTATTAAAAGAATTCTTGAATAGTTATTTGAAGAGACATGTCAAAGAACATTTAGGATTAAATTAGAATTGCTTTGTTAAAGAATATGGTTGAATTGAGGATCGGATGTAGTCTTAATAGTTGAGACAAACCGATATAAAATTATTTAGTTTTCAATCTAATTACTCTTCTTATTTTATCTAACTAGCATTATTATTCCACCTTAAAAAACATGCGAATTTGCGATATACACTATTCAACAATCCCTTTTAATGTTTATCTTTTCTCTACATATATTTTTACAATAAAATAAATAATCAAATTACCAGTGTAAATACAGTGATAAAGTCATGAAAACGTTTGGAAATAAACATGACATCAAGTTAAAATTTTAAAAACTAAAGTGATATTAAATTATAATTTTAGGAATTAAATTGACACATTATAATTTCGAGAATTAAAATGATTTTGTTGTATATTCATATACGTGTCACTCCATATAAATTAAATTTTGAATGAAATGACCAAACCAGTAATTTAACTTTTAAAAAAGGACTTACATTTAATCATCTTGCACTTCACTGAAGAAACGCAGGTGACTTCCTTTTCTGAGAACGCAAGTATATATTCCAGAGGATTTTATTATAAATTTTATGCAACCTCACAGTTGCATTCATACCATAGAACTTAAGCTCCAATTTTTCCCACTGAACAACTCAATTCATTCTGATCATTGGTACAAAGTGATTTAACTCCAAGGTTATGCCATGATAATTTGATGATCACCAGCACAGAATCATTTGGAGTTTGGATAAATTTGTCTTACAAGCAAAAAAAAAAAAAAAAAAAGAACATACACGTGATATATATGTAAAGTGACACATGTTATAGAGGTGTGGCATGTAGTATATATTCCGCATGGTATATGATTATAAAACATAATATCATTTTATAACTTAATTAAATGGTTACTTGTGAGCTAAATTTAAAGTGTTGTAATAGTCATTTTTTTTGAATTATTATATAAAAAGACTCAATGCACAAGAAAGAAAAGAGAACAAACATATAAATACATTTGTACAAAAATATTCTCGATAAAAATTTATTCTTTCTTATAAACATTCATTATTCTGTAATTGTTTTATAATGTCTAAATGAAGCAAACACAACTTCTTTGTAACCTTCATCATTGTTATAAGATTGAATATGGAGAAATTTATTTGAAAAATAATATTTATTTTTGAACTTGGAGAAACTTGTCTAAAAAAGAATATTTGATTGTTAAGCCTGGATAAACTTGTTTATTAAAAGAATTCTTGAATAGTTATTTGAAGAGACATGTCAAAGAACATTTAGGATTAAATTAGAATTGCTTTGTTAAAGAATATGGTTGTAATGGTGTGTGATTAATGAAGGAACCAACCAACATCATTAGAATGGTACAGGGTCTGCACCGAATATACTACGTTTGATCATTTTTATATTTTTAATACTGTTAAATTATTATAAAAATAAGTCTTTATGATTATAGTTTTACCTAAACATTTAACAAATGTCTATAATAGATAAAGAAGTCATACTTAAGATATATATTTTTAAAGAAAGTTGGATTCAAACTAACTAAATTATAATAAAATATAGTGTGACCTAATTTATTTTTATCTTTAATACTAATCGTAGATATAAAAAACTTGTAATAAATAATTATAATATATATTTATACTTTTAAAAGTTATATATAAAATTTTTAATACTACAAATATATATAAGAAATTAAAAATATTAAATTAAAAATAAGAAATTAAAAAAAGAAATTAAAAATATAAATTAAAAATAAGATTTCCGACGGAAGAAATTAAAAATAATAATTAAAAATAAGAAATTTTCGACGGATTTATATTTCTGTCAGAAATTTTTGAGGGAAATATGAATCCGTCGAAAATTTCCAACAGAATATTTCGTCAGAAATTTTCGACAGAAAATTATTTCTCTGACGGATTTATTTTTCCATCAGAAATTTCTGATAGAAAATTCCGTCGAAAGTTTCTGACGGATTCATATCCGTCAGAAAATTTTCGTCAAAAATTTACATTTTTCTTATAGTGACCATTTGCTCGTAGTTTTGGTTAATTAATGAACTATTTTTCAGATTCATTATTTTATATTATTGAATGTGTGCATTAATGGTAAAGGATATCACACTAATATTTAAATCATACTATGTATAATCATTAGGGCAACCTAGTGATGCAGAGTTGAGATAATGAATTTGTTTATTTAAAAAAAAATCTCTTGTAAAAGTGTTTTTTTTATAGAATAATCACTTTTTTACTTTTTGATATGTTTGTCTAATTTTTTTTTAAAATAAATAATTTTATACTTTTTAAAAAAACAACTCTTACCTATTCCTCAAAGATTTATTTTTTAAAAAAATACTTGTTTAAAAATACTTATTTTTAAATTTAAACAAACAAACTCGATATATATAATGTCTTAGACTCGAACTTAGTATAGTGATCGTAAACCTACTATGTAAAAGAGATACATTTAGTTATATATTCATATTTTCTTATTTTATTTAAAAAAATTATAAAATTGTATGAGAACTTTATATTTTAAAAAGATTTAAATTATTTTAGACTTAAATGTTTTTGTAAACGACGAAATAATTCTTTTATTTTATACCCTTATATTTCTTGTTTTCACATACCAAGTAGTATTTTCCTGAAAATGTACAAAATAAGAGAGATTGTTAAGTTAAAGTACAAAATAAAGTCACTGCTATCAATGGTGGATACTCCAGGGACGAAAAAAAAATACAAAATAAAGTCTTTTAAAAATTTATTTTAATTATAATTAATAAACAAAGGGTAAGCAAAAATGATATAAAAAAAGGCTTTATGTTTGAACAATACAACAAATTTCTTAAAATAAAATATACTAGTAACAAATTATAAAAACCATGTACAAAGTACAATAGATTATGCGTATCTTACGGCAAAAGAAATATACGTGTAATATATACACCGTATAAAGTATATCACCTGTCTTTATAAAGAAAAAGTATTTTTATATTCCAACACAATATTTTTATTCTATCACACAAATGTTTCTTTTTGGTTTTTTTTTTCATTATAATTATAATAACGATACTAAGATTCGAATTAAAAACTTTCTGCATGTTATTCCGATCTCACCACTTGATAATTCAACTGATTTTTTTTTAAATAGTGAACAACATTTAATGCTTCAACGACTATTCAACTATTTTCCCTAGTTGGTGCCTGTTCTTACCGGAAATCTGCTGTAGAGCTGGTCCGTCCAGTAAGATCAGTGAATCTCCTTTGCCCGGTGTATTGGTGCTCCAAGATGGGGGAGGTACCTGCAAAAGAGACTATGATGCCAAAGTTAGGGTTTGCATGAGTAATAGTCTCATATATATAATGCACGTACCTTGAGGTGATCTAGGTTTGCCTTGGGCTTTTGGGCTTGAGATAAGATATATCATGATATGATATGATATAATTGAAGGGCGGATCTGGTCTGGGATGAGATCCTCGGAATCAGGTATGATTTGCTCAAATATCGGGCTGACGTCATGCACCGCGTGCCCGAGGTCACCTATTTGCATTACTAATCCGGGCTAGGAGCGCGGGTGCGAAATACGGTTAGTATACTAGCCCCCCAAGCTCCGAAAGCCGTAGGTCGAGGAGTTAAGATCGGGTTCACTGGAGGGGAGCGGCTTTTCGCTATGCTTTGTCCGAAGGTTTGCCATGTGTCACGACTGTTCATTTCCCGAGGGCGTTCGAGCGACGCGTTAAGGGAAGTGACGGTTGTGGAATGATGGTTTTGCAATATATGTGTTGTCAGTTGGGCTTTTCAGCCGACACGTGTCGCGTCGGTTTTGAATTTTGGGGGAGGGTTTTTCCTTTTCTTCCACTCGCGCCTCTTCGTTTTTACTCTTTCTCTTTCTTCTGACTTCTCAAGTACGAGAGCTTTTCTTGCTTTTTTGCCTTTGCGCTTCCATCGCCGTTTCCGGTAATCCCTTCTTTGTTAGGGTTGTTTTCTGAGGAGGAGTACCAGGTACTTCCTTTTTATTTGCTTTTTCTCTCTTTTCATGGCCGGTGGAAGTGGTGTCGGATCCTCTACGTCTGCCAGGGGCAAGGCGCGTGGCAAGGCGGTGGCCGGATCCTCTGCGTCTGCCAGGGGCAAGGCGCGTGGCAAGGCGGTGGCCGCCGGAAGGGTCATTGTTGAGAAGAAAGCCCCGCCGCCGCCTAGGGGCCCGGAGCCAGGCGTTCCTGGTTACGACTGGGTCAAACGCGAGGTGGCTGAGGCTCAGAGCATTTTTCGCTCTTTCCTCGAAGTGAATGCGTTTCGGAGAGCGCATAGGGTTTGCGATTCCTCCATCTCCCACATGATTCGGCTTGAGCCCTGTCAGGCCGATGAGGGCGTGTACATGGGGAGGTCTACTGATCCCCCCCATTTCTATGTATATCAATGCTTTTTAGGGATTTGGGTGTCTGTCTTCCCTTCACTCAGTTTGAGTGCGATTTTTTGAATTTCATCAACGCGACTCCTTGCCATTTGCATCCCAATAGTTGGGGTTTTTTGAGGGCTTTTCAGGTTCTGTGTACAGTTCTAGGTATAGAGGTGTCTCTTCGCGTCTTTCTTCATTTTTATCAGTTGAAAATGGGCGTTCCGCCTTATGGTATTTTGTCCCTGAGCGAGAGTAGGGATGGGGGATTGTTTACTCCTACTCCCAATCGTATAAAAATTTCAAGCAGGAGTATTTCCGGGTCGCCCTCGTGGGTGTTGACACTTTGGAAGATGAGGTGTTTTACTTCGGCGGTTTGCCGAGGGGTTTGATAAGACGCACCAGTGTATTTCCAATATCAGAAAGAGGTTTTCTTGGCCCATGATCACTGTGGGCTTCAGCAGGCCCCTCAACCAGTGCACCTTGAAGCAATTCAGCCCCTTGAGCAGCAAGAAGGCGATCTTTATTTGATTCCTCAATACTGGAAGCATTACCAGTCCCTTCAACTTGTGACTCATTCGAGACTGATATTCTGTTGGCACACTTGGATGCTAAGCAACCACAAGAACTCCCACAAGTGCCGCCCAGAGCTTTGCACTTGCATTTGTTTGTCTTGCAAGAAGAAGATTTACTACAAGAGCAGCAGATTCCTGATGCAGTTTCCCCAGATGCACCTCCATTTGCTTCTGTTGAATTATCTTTTACATCTTCTGAACTGATATTTGACTGATTGTCTTCCATGCTTGCACGTCTGCTCTTAGACTTTCTTTTCCTAACATGTATTTTTTCTGATGCTCCGCATTCATCGTCTTCTGATGCTACCCATTCATCATCAGTCCCATTTTTAGCATAATCATCTGCTTCTGTGTCTGATATTGATAAATCCATATCCTCCAGTAAAATTGTAGATCGCCGGTTTTCCTAAATGATAACCAAATGATCATTAACTATAGTACCAAAAGAAAAAGTGATGTATAATGAGATTTGTAGGCACATTAAGAGATCTAGTGATATTGCAAGAGACTTACCATCTTGCGCAAGTCATACTTATGTCCTACACCAGTTGTGTAATACACCGAATCCCCCACAGATTCTGAGTACCTCTTTGCCCTCTGTCATAAGTTTTAACATTATGGTTAAAACCAGAAAAAGAAAAGAAATTACCATAATTAGAGAATCACAGTTACAAAAATAAGGACCGTTACTTCTTCAATTTGATAAACTGCAACTTAAATTTGGAAAGGAGAAAAAATTTCAAGTTTCATTAAATCTGTTCAATTTTAAGTTGCATTGCAAAATTTATTTCTCAAGCTAAATCTCGATGAAGTGGAGCTCTCGACCAAACATACTAACCAGCAACTTCAACTGATGAATGAGTTCAGACTTCTGCATTTCCAACTGTCGAAGTGAACAGCTCAACCTTACTACTTTTTCTTTCATATCTCTTATTTCCATGTCCTTCTCCCTGCAGGCAACTTCTCTATCTCGCAATGAACACCTGAAATATATAAAGGCATTGAAAAAAAAATTCAGTCATGTGTCATCACAAAGATAACTACTGATTTGCTTAAGATTAATAGATACTGTTTTTTAGTTAACTTTAATCATAGACCATAAATTTACAAGCATATAAAGCTACTACCTGGAGGAAGATGCCAGATTAAACAAATGATTCATCAAATTCTTGGCTTCAGCAAGGGAACGGACTTGGTTCCAACGCCCCTTGCCACTGAAAACCCGTTCCCGCTCTTCTGCCTCTGACAACTGAGATGCCATTGTCAGCAGTGTTGTAGAAGAAGAA